TTTTTGTCCAAAGCAAGTTTATTTATCGATATAGAGGATGAAATCCCGTCGGATAGTCAGGTTTTGGTACTACTCGAAAATATATAGTCATCAAAACCTGTATATTTTAAAACTGCCTGTCCTTCAAATAGATTTTTCTCATTTTTGTTCCGTGTTCTGTCCTTGAAATAAAATTCCATTGTTTTTCCGTTAGAAAAGAAATTCTGTAAGCCGTTACACTATTTTAATATTAGTTCAGTTTGATGCCTTGCTTCGATGAAACGGTTTTTCAGACAAAAACATCTGTTGCCCCGAAGATAATAGATACAGATTGCTGATTTGTTCCAGCTAGAACAAAGCCAATTATCAGGATTTTCTGCCTACCACTTCCAACCACCTAACACCTCAATGTAGACCATATGATATCCGATCACGTAAATTAATAGGCACATTGCAGTTTTGATCGACAGAATTCAAGCAGTGAGACTGAATAAATACAAACTGGCCAATCCTAATTGACGAACCAACCACACATAAGCATCAGATATTTTGTTATTACAGACACGTACAGACTTTAGAACATATAACCTATTCACAGCTATAAGTGGTTTACCATTTATTAAGAATTCTACTTTTCAGATAATATTCCTTATTTCATTAATCCACTGATAAACATTTTACAATTCATTTAAATCAATGTCACAATTTCCAGTTAAAGTTTATAACATATCTTGTAAAGTTTTTTTTTAAATAGAAACTTGACTTGAAAAATGTTATTTGTTTTTAGTTATTTCATTTATATTATATAAATCAACTTGTCAAATAGTGTTGATTTAAAAAAATCATTATTAATTTTTTCAGAAATCTATGTTTTCTTCGGTACATAAATGTCGCAATCGATTTTTTTATAAACTTACATTATAAATTATATGCAACGAAAAGATTTATGCTAAAGTTGAAGAGACTGACTACTTTCAGTACCCTTCTTCCTATATATATGATGTTGAAAAACGAAAGAACAATGTATATATATATATATTGATTCGCCCAACCTTTCATTAAGCGAATTTCAGACTGCATTGGATGTGACGCAATAATCCATTTTACGTAAACTATCATTTCTAAAAATAAATCACTATTTATTATTAAAGATTAGTGAGTAGTTAAGGGTTGTATTTTTCTTTTACTAGTAAACCAGTAAGTGCGTAGATTAGTACTTTTGACTTCAATATTCACATATATCACAGTAAGTATACATGGAATCCGAAGAAATAGCTTTTATAATGAACTTATGATTTGTTTTAGATCAACTTTTCAAAATATTCGCACTACGAAACATTCTATCAGTTAATAATGTTGTTTAGTTATACATAAAGAACAGCTAAATTCAACTAGCTGAGTTAGAAATGGTCTCAGTGACATTATAAACTAGAAAGAGGAGTATTTAAGATAAAAAAGTAATCAATATTCAATGGTAGGTCAGACAAATAAAAATTAACTCAATCAAATTAAAACAAATGATAATGATATGCAATAATTGAATATTGAATAATTGAACAAACTTTATTATTGACATGTGAATGAATCGAAATAGGATAACTTGTAGAAATAATTGTGGTAACAGAACTAGGGTAGGTATTTATGGAGGGAAAAAAAGTGACAACTAAAAATACAACTATCTTGTAAGATGCAATAACATTATTCATTGAATGAATTGAATTGAATTTCACAGTTAACATCATGGCAGTATTGAAATTAGACAAAATTGGATTCATTCATATAAATCAAACTATGGATTGGAGTGAATTCCGATAAAAACCTAGTTGAAAACAATGTCTTGGCGTAAAAACTTTCAAATATCAAAATAGTGTCAAATTAAAGTGAATCACTCTTGATAGATTTTGGATAAATAAGAGAACAGTAGGCAAATGACTATTAGGTAATTACTGCAGGTGGATTGATACTAGTATACAAACTAAAAACACTGAGATTTGTACTATACGAAGGGGAAGACACTGTTATTGATAACGTGATGACGTCTATTTTGAAACTGCCTTTAATATGCTTACTTACACCTTTAAATAAATCCCATTCCATTAAACAAACAATAAATGTCTAGTTAGTATTTTTACGGATTTCACTTAGTAAACAACTTTCATCTCCTTCAGACATATTACATTTACACTATCCTTGGTAAAATTCACTAATTCAGATCATATTCATCCTGAACAATAGATCATAAAACAAACTGGACCAAGCACCTTTATAGACTTATCAAAATAATTATCGCTACTGTCGTTCTGTATTCTGTGTTTCAGTATTTTACTCTAACTGTAGTTACTTTATAATCATAACACTAGAGATGACCTGAGATACACTAATCATATACTGTAGTCTCCTGATAAATAATTATTGGTTTCAAAGCCACAACTTACATTGTTTTAATCCATATGCAATATGTACCTTCTGAACAGCCCCTCAACCATGTTGTTTTAAACAATTCAAAACGATATAAATTATTAATATGTAACCCTCTAATGAGTATAGACCTAATCATGCCTTTAAATCTGTACCTATCCCGTAATCGTTTTCAAAATATATTGTGGTTTATTTATTGATTTACATGAATAGATTTTACTCTGAATTTATACAAACGAACATTATACGAAGTAAATATTGTACTAAATTAACATAATGAATTCTAAAGACATGAATGAATGGAATTCGCACTAGACAAGTGCAAAAAAATCTTGTCCTAAACACATACTACACAAACGTTACACTAAATTTAAAACTAATATATACAGAATTCAAACATCACATCATGTTTTAAATGGTCTGAACCACTCTTATTGTAGATAAAATGTAGACAGTATAAGGATTGTGAAATATGCTTCATTGTAGAATAAAAGCACATTGTCAGGTAGAAACAATCAATGCTAAAAAAAACAACATTTCATAATCTCATATCTTCAGATAAATACAGATATATATATATATATATATATATATATATATATATATATATATATATATATATATATATATATATATATATATACTACTTTTATTTATTATCTTTAACATTATTCTATTCATACTTTCTAACTAATATCTAAACAACTGCTAATCGAAAGAGCCAAGATTACAAAACAATTAACACTGTTACAATAGTTTACATGTTAAATTAAAAAAGAGACACCTGTTTATTACAATCAAACATATTTCTATTATTATTTACTAATGGATTTATTTAGTTAAGTACTACTCATTTGAAATGATTCATTCATTCATTCACAAATATATTGATGTTTAAGGTCCAGTGTGTGGGAGGAAAATTGTAGAATAAATAAAAACAATGTGTTTATTAGACAAATAGTTTATTTATGAATGCCAACTAACATTGCATTCATCTATGTGATATGGTTGGAGGTAGTAGAAACGGAACTATGGAAAACGATTTCATGCTTTTTGGCACTCATCATCAAGGCATACCTGAAATGAAGAGGGGACTGACGTTCTGTGTAGTTGAAAGTTAAGACAGTAACATTGAACAATTCAGAAAGAGGGTTAGACTGAAATGTTTAAAGCCAAAAACTCGTTGAGTAGTAAGGAGTTTTCCTAGTCCGTTTAGCACTGACAGCATTATACCAAACAAATTTTGATGGGACCACTAGTCTGGTCAGCTATCATATTGTATTTTTTTCTGTCAGATGATGGATGATATAGCTGCGATATTTTTGTCAAGTATTTGACGAAGATTATGTTCATATTAATCTACAACTAACAGTAGAAATGTCAAAGAAATTCTAAAAGAATGTTAACTACAAATTAATACATTTACTAATTTAGCATTCACTGTGATCGACACTCGTGCTATTTTCTAGCCACAAGAACTATTAGTTATATAAAACGTTTGCTAAAATCAACAACCTTCAGTAAAATTTAACACTGATGTTTTGTCCTTTTTTGGCCTCATAGTCTAAGTGTACTTGAATACCAATAGTGTTGTTGTTCACAGTGAAATTCAAACATAGTGCTTTGAGCTTCAACGGCTAAATGCGTTATCCATTGAGCTTCTGAGTTCGGAAAGTGACTAGTTGGCATAACGAGCATGAATTCTTTTTTAATAACGATTTGTATTTAAACTTAAACTTGTAAATCAGTGGTAACATCAAAGTTATTTGAAATAAACTAGTTATCTGAAATAAACTAGCCAGTTACAGTCTTCAGTATCAACAACGAGAAAAAATCTAAAGCTTTTTTAAAATAAAAAATGAAATTTATTATAAGCAAACTTTATGTGAATATAATATTACTTTTTTTTTCATCTGAAGTACTCATGTACATTACAAAAACAAAAAGCATAACTTAACAAATGAAAATGCATACATGAAATTGCTTCAAATCATTTTTCCTCGTCAATAACAATAAAATAAGAGTATTTTTATACTAATAGATTAAAATGTGTAACATGAAAATTTAGCTTGAATAACCTGACTGAATTGTAATGTATTCTCAGTGTTAATTAAACGAAAAAATGTAGACTAACAAGAGCTGAGTATTATTATTATTATTATTATTATTATTATTATTACTTACTGTTACACGTATATAATAAAGATTATGGAATAATAATGTGTTCATTCAAAGTAATTTAAATGCATGCGAACAAAAATCCAGTCGGTGTTGGAGATTGTGCTTTGTTTTTAAATAAAGAGGTAGATATTATTACTTTTTTTCTAATGATGTGGAGTACTTCAAGAGGATTTAAAATTTCAACTTTCCTAAGCTGAAAAAATTTGATTTAACTGGAAAATAACAAGAGTAGTGAGAATGATAGTTAACATAATGACTGTATAAAACCAACAAACTCAATTAAGGCTGTTTTAAATATGTATAATTGCGGTAAAACACTCAGAAATAGCGATAGATCATGTAGTGAATTTGCGAAGAAAAATCTGAACATTCCAGATCAGAAAAGAAAAGTTGTTTTCATCATTATATACTGTCTCCTCTGTTTATCTTCCATTGGAATTTATTGTCGACTGTTCACATCCACATGTACAATGGTCACTGACCATGTATTCATAACGATTCCATTCGCAATGATAACCATTAGCTGTTAAACTAAGTTTACGTATTAAACGTCGCACACGTTTCGATCTACGTTCCTCTACAAATGTTTGATGTGAATTAACATCTCTACTGAGACGACCTAAAAGATTTGTTTGAAATTCTCTTCTACGTCTATTCGATGCTTCTTTGCCTGAATCGTTCTTACAAACCTAAAAGGAATTGTTAAAATAAAATGAAACAAAATCAGTCAGTAAAAAATCAAATGTTTAGCAGCTGACATTTTCTACGCAAGCCATCGCAAAAAAAGTACATAACTATCAACGATTCATATGACTGAATTAATCAGAACGGATTTGCTCTGACGAGACACGTATGCACAATAAATATAACTGATGCTTCTCGTTTCTCACATCTCGCTAAACTTCAAAATATCAGAAGACAAAGATGTTGCTTTTCAATCTGATCAACTGTCAACGCTGTTTTTGAGAAATGAAGTACGTAAGTTATATTCTTTTTACACAATTGATTCCAATTCACAGGGAACATTGGATTCCTTCCTCAGTTTACCCTTTATGGGAACACGACTCCAATGGAAGTGGAATAATTATGGAGTGGTCGGATACATAATTTGCAATTTAGAATATTGGATTTGTTCTTATCAAGGCTGTGTATTATGAAGTCCAGAGGTCATCAAGACCTGTTCTCCGAAATCCATGTCGTAAAAATACAGCAGAAGTGTGAGACTGTATCGAGGCTATAAATCAAGTTTTCATTCTAATATCTGAACTCCATGTCATCCCTTTTCCACTTAAAATGATACCAATAGTAAGTTTGTAAGACCTTTGTGAGTACTCATAATGAAAGTTATTTTTCTGAACTTTGTGTTTCGAATTAAATGTATCGATGGAGCCGTTAAAATGTGTTGATGCAATCACTTTGAGGAGCTGAAATCTCGTTGAGAAAGTCAATAGCCGGTTGTACAGTTGCTATCTCCTGGCTTACGAATTTTTCAAAATACGTCCAGTAGATATGTTTGTATCAAATCTTGCAGAAAAAAATTTGCTTTCCTAAAAGTATTCTCGATATACAAAGGTAGTTTTAGTACTTTTGATGCTTGTTTGACGGAATAGAATATCCACTGATGGATGAGAGGTTTTATATGATGTTACGGAGCAATAGATCTTCACTAAGAGCAATTAATTGATTAGAACCTTCAGATTATATGGTGTCGAAAACAAAATATTTGACAATAGGAATAAATGTTTTGCCTGAAAAACAAGAAGGTAACAATGATTAAATGACATGGATTATTTTAGATAACCATTTTGTAAGTTACTTACACTCCATAGAAGAAAGATCTAACTCTTCGGCGCTATGACAAATACAGTAGGTATTTCGAAAAAATAAAGTGTATTCCAAATAAGTAAATTATTTTGAAATACTTTTATCAAAAATTTCAATAAATCTTATGCTGCACTAGAAACTCCTTGAAATGCTATGAACAGTACAGAAACCTTAAATTCAGTATACATCATACTTAAATGCACAAAAATATTCTCAGGTATAATTAAAAAGTGGAATGTGTTTCTTTATTAATATATATATTTATGTGTAATAATTATACGAATACTGCACAAGTGCGCAGTTTAATTTTTCAGTTTCTTATACTAGCTGAACATTGATTCTCAGAACAAACAAGTTATAATCAACGTACTGATTTCAAAAGAGAAACATCTGACTGCTGTTAGAATCTATCCATTTGAATACCATTTTATTTTCAGATATCATTATCTTGAATTTATATTTTATAATTAAAGTTCCGGAACCTGGTATATGTAAATTAATTTCGCCCTATTTCTTAGTTAATACAACATCAACCCAACAACTCTTATTACGAAAATAAGTTCCCATAAATTGAAGTATTACTTGATCAGTCACTCGTCCTGGTGTGCATCTGCAACTCCTCCATATAAGACCTTTTCACCTAACTTTCTAATTCTCATAATTATTTATAATTTGTTATTTACATTTAATCAGAAATTAAACAGTTATCATAAATCTCGGCATAATTTAATACTAATTTGTTCTATTTGTTCTATTTCAAACAACAAATATATATAATTATGCACGGGGATGATGAAATAGAGTTTGATAAGGGAAATATTTTTCGGCTTAAAGATAAATTAAATATAACTGATTTACGTAATGTTATAAGGTCATGTGAAACTATCACAAACTTTTTTAACCTTAACATAATTCAAGGTTTTACGTAAAAGTTTAATTTTAAAACTAAGTTCATATAACAACAACCGTGATAATCACAGCTTTCAAGTTTGTAATTTTAAATGGCACTGTATGAGATAATGAAAAAAAGTATATTTTCACTCAGTGATATTTTCAACATATAATATTGCTTGCTTACAAGCGAATTTTCTAAACGGACAAAAGACAGTACAGTGGTACTAAAATATATGTATGCCACACAAATCACTGAATTTGAGTGTGAGCTGAGATTCTTACTAGGAACCTAAACCAAAACAGATGGTTTACTAAGAGAGTCACTGCTAAAGCCTCTGACCTAGAGGTATAACTCGCAAGGCAATTGAACAACATCAGAAGATACGATCACATGGTAGACGGTGACCAAGAGTTGGTTCGTATACTATTCGTTTCTTTAGGATTATGGGGCTCGTGCACGCCAGTGGTTTGACAAAAAGGTTTTTTGACTCTCCTAAGTGGATCCTCTGTACCAACTGGCTCGATTTAAGCACAAGACATTCTCTACCGGTTCTCAACAACACCCGTGCCGCGAGGAGGCAGTAAGTAGGATTTCTACATCTCAAACGTACATCTTTTCTATTGCTCAACAATCTTTTCGTTAAGTATTTATACAATGCAAAAGCCGAAAAGTACATGATAATGACCTTTTTGAAATAAAAACACTAGGGGAATTATGTATGTGCATCAAATAACCTTTATGTTTTCATGTTCTAGTCAGTCATCTTTTGCATTGTAAATTACTGACAGATACAAGCGAATTCTTAGACAGTAACATATCACAAACTGATAGCCTTGTCAAAAAAGAAAAATGAAAAATAACTATTACACTTAGGAAACAGAGAATTGTCTAAACGAAACATATTCCAAGTATTTTGTATATATTATAAACTGATCATATTGATAATTTTGTGCAAAGTTCTTAATACCATTCAAGTTGATTGATGTGTTTAAAAAATTACCAGCCTCTTATTTAGATGATTAAGCATAAAAAAATAAGCCTCAGTTAAAGGGGTTAAACTTTAGGTTTTTTGAACACAGAATAAATTAAAAATAAAGAAAAAAAATCACGATTTACTAGCACTAACGATTCATGTAATTGAAAAGTGAAAGCTAAAATTTACTTGAATTTATAAGTGTTGAATTAAGCTACCTACATATGCTGCTGTCCTGTTGGTTAACTAGCAAACAGATTTGATTTATAGGACACATCATGAAACAGACCCATTGAAAAAGAATCAAAACAATTCAGTGAGTAGAAGTTTCTTTTTAGCTATTTCATTTGCTTAAGCTAGTGAATTTATTTGTCAAAATATAATTGTTGGAATTATGAAAAATTAAAATGGTATCGTGTGGAAAATTGGTCACAGAAATCGGTTCAAAAGAAATACAGTTGAAGAACGTACGTACAACAAAGGCTATGATTATGCAGCAATTCAAGACTAGCGCTTGTTCTAACCATGGTTGAGTTGAAAAATAGTCACAAGTCAGTAAAAGGATATTTTTCAATGTGCCTTAGTTTATTATAGGTTACCACATCAAATCAACCTGTTAAAAAAACTATCATCAATTTGTATGAAGCTTTTTCGCTGAGACAATTGCACTTAAACAATAGTATTGATTAAATGGAACACATGTATCTTGACAAGCAATGGAATTCAGAACTCATGTTTCGTCACACTGGACTAACCAGGTCGATGTACTTTCGACGTACTTGTGTTCTAGTAGATAAATGCCAATAAGTTACCTAAATAGATGCTAGCTTGTTTTACGTTTTAGATATTTATATCCGTACGTCTATACATGTAAAGCACCAAAGACGGTGCATATTTCAATCCTTAATATCAACAACAGGATAATTCACACCTTTTCTTATCATTATACAGTTGTAATCATTAGCTTGATTTTATTTTAATACAGATTTGCTGGCAAAATGTAACATAGTCAAGGCTTTGCATGCATGGATAGATTTTCATATTCGTTTCGATAATTTGGTTAACTGGTGATTTGCATATCTGTATTAATCATATCTTAACTCATTAGATGTTTTCTACAAAGAGTAAATTCTATTAGTAGATGACACCGTATAATATTTCCTAACTTTTCTATATTATTCTATAATCTATATAATCCTTCATCAAAAACTTACTGTGATGCGTTATCAGATTATTTTTCTCACTTTATGCTGCCTAAATTTATCTTGATTATTAATCGCAGATTTTCTACCAACTGACATGGGACACTAGTCAGTTTAACACTGACAATTTTATTTACATTTGTACTGATCATTAATTTCATAATTTCGATTTCCTTATAAGCTGATTCATGAAAACACGACACAGAATTAATGTCGTTCTTTTCACAGTTGAAACCACAGACTGATGCTAGTTAAACTATTACTGAAAACCTGAATGCATTTGGCGGCTGCTTTGTGTTAGTAAGGAACAGTAAACATCCATGACTCCGCCCGTGCAAATTGAATGCAGGACCTTCAGTCTTATTCAGTGATGCTCTGTTCAAGATCCGCTTGTAATTTAAATCGTAAAAATGTTACCATCATAATAAATTTCCTCTATTATTTCCAATATTAACAGTCAAAACTTCATTTTATTCTGCCAACTATTCAAATTAATAAGCTGTAATTTTAGATGATGCATTTATTGTAAACTTGACTTGGAAAACTTGTTTAGATTTATGAGTGTAGAATGTGATGAGAACTTATGTGAATTGAAAGTATTCTTTGACATATCGGTAAAAATTTTTAACGTACACTTTGTAAAATTTTTAACTAATTTACTTAAAAAACCACTTTAGAAGTTAATTTAAGAACAAAAAAGGAATTTCCTAATTGCTGAAGTCAGTCTCATGTTTAAAATGTACCATTCAAGTGGTTACACATATGTTCATTAGCATTGTGTTTACATTCAACAGG